TGGGACTGTGAGGGCATTGACTTGTGCATGGAGAGAGCATGTGGGTTGTTTTATTTATTAATCATCTGTTTTTGCACGGGTGTTTGCTGAAGGAAGGAGCACTGGGGGCTGGGCCTGAGGCTGAGACACAGCGGGGTTTAGAAGCCACAAGCTGGTGGTCTTGGACGAGCTCCTTCCTGTTGAACCTCAGTTTCTTCGCCTGTGAGATGGAGATGATGAGAGCGTGAACTTCTGGGAGGGGGGCTGTTGTGAGGAATAAAGAAACAGCACGCCTGGAAACCATTTCACTCGGTCCCTCCTAAGAACCCTAGAAATTTTCGTTAACAGTCTGGTGCTGTTACTGTGCACGGGGTCTGTCCCACGTGAGCAAGGCAATTCGGACACAGGGCTGCTAACACGACATCATCTGCTCAACCCAGATCTACTGAGCTCCCATAAGGCACCAGGCACCCCTTCTAGGCACAGGGGATGCTGCTGTGAGCAAAGCTCCCAAGGATGCTGCCCTCTTGGAAATTCCAATAGCGTCACCCGTTGGGGAACTCTGAGAAAGATAAGAAAAAAGGAAATGAGCATATGCACCTCCCCCATTTGCTGGAAGGTGTGTTGGGCTCTGGAGGGAACTCTGAGACGGGTCTTCCTGGACCTGCATCTGCCCTCATGCCTGGAACGAGAGCTCCAGACCCCTAGAATTGTAGAGAAAACGGTAAGCAAAAATGCCATGCCTTTGAGGGAGCCACAGAGCCTCCTCCTTCAGTCCCTGTAAGACCACATCCCACATAGGGTTAGGGCTGGGCCTGCAGGTTAAGGACAGGGGGCTTGGGGGTGGTGAGGCTGGGCAGAGCCAGGGGCTGGAAATACCTAGGGGAAGAGGGAACGTGGGGTCTTGCCGCTGTGGAAGGAAAGGGCACAAAAGTGGGCAGCGAACCAACGATGTCTTTGTCGCCACCTGGGTGACCTCAGGTTGCTGCTGCTCTCTCCTGGGCCCCCGTTTCCCAACTGCAAGGTGATGTCACCCTCGCCCTGGGCTGCCTGTTCGAGGATGACCTGTGGTCCTTCCCAGGTGAAAGCTCTAGGGGCGCCTGGGTGGCTCAGTGGTTAAAGCCTCTGCCTTCAGCTCAGGTCATGATCTCAGGGTCCTGGGATCGAGCCCCACATCGGGCTCTCTGCTCGGCAGGGAGCCTGCTTCCCCCTTTCTCTCTGCCTGCCTCTCTGCCTACTTATAATCTCTGTCTGTTAAATAAATAAATAAAATCTTTAAAAAAAAAAAAAGCTCTAAGAGGAAAGCAGCTAAGTGAACACTTGTTGTTCTGGAACCTGGGGTCTACTATTGCCCCCCACCCCTGGCCCAACACACACACACACATCCCACAGGGTCTTTCCTTCCCAGAGGGAGCCAGCCTGGAGGCCCCTTCCCCTCCCTGGCTCCTCCTGGGCCTGGCCCCATGTTTTCATCCGGCTAATGACAGCCTGCAGGGTTTACTGACTCCTCTCCAGGTGGCTGTGCCAGCAGGATGAGTAGCTGCCCAAAATGGAAGGTTGGCCTGACCCAGAAATGTGATGAGAACCTGGGGGCGGAGGGGATGGGTACAGCATACAGCAGGCATGTGGGAGGATCACTAGATGAGACCGGGGCCCCCAAGTTCCCCCAAGTGTGGCCCTTGGCAGGTGGCTTCACCTCTCTGAACCATAAGGGTCCAGTGAGGTCAAGAATAAAGTGCTAGGCACATGGCCGGGTACACAGTCAGTGCTCAATAGATGTAAGCCATGACTGTGATGATAAGAGGTAGTGCAGCAGAGGGGTCAAGAGCCAGACTGCCTAAGTTTGAATCACAGCTCTGCCACTTAACCGGGTGTGTAGACACCAGTGAGTCCTATAATCTCACTGAGCCTCAGTTTTCTCAGCAGTAAAACAGGGATAATAAAAGCCCCCTCCGGGCACGTGCACCCGAATGTTTATAGCAGCAATGTCCACAATAGCCAAACTATGGAAAGAACCCAGATGTCCATCAACAGATGAATGGATAAAGATGTGATATATATAGACAATGGAATACTATGCAGCCATCAAAAGAAATGAAATCTTGCCATTTGCAATGACATGGATGGAACTAGAGGGTATTATGCTTAGCGAAATAAGTCAATTAGGGAAAGACAATTATCAAATGATCTCTCTGATATGAGGAATTTGAGAGGCAGGGCAGGGGGGTTTAGGGGGTAGGGAGGGAAAAAAATGAAACAAGGTGGGATGGGGAGGGAGACAAACCATAAGAAACTCTTAATCTCAGGAAATAAACTGAGGGCTGCTGGGGGGAGACGGGGGAGGGACAGGGTGGCTGGGTTATGGACAATGGGGAGGGTATGTGCTATGGTGAGTGCTATGAAGTGTGCAAGCCTGAAGATTCACAGACCTGTACCCCAGGGGCAAATAATACACTGTATGTTAATTTTTTTTTTTTAAAGCCCCTTCTATGTAGGGTTGTAGGAGGGATTCCATGAGTTAATATACATAAATTCAAAGGCTTAGAACAGAACCCAGCACGTGGAAAGTGCTGGGAAAATGCTAATGATGACTATTTCTGCTTTCTAGCTGCACACCCTCCCTCCTCTCCTGCTGGCTTCGGGGCTGCTGGCATCCTTGAAATGAGAAGGTGGATGCAGGCTCTGTGGGGTTGTGGCAAAGAGGCCTAGCAAGGAAGGAGAAGCACACACCCGTCAGGAGACTCACCCATAAATAAACACAGCCCCATCCATGCATAAACACACTTGCCATTCCACCCACTCAAATCCACACACAAACGCACTGGGGACAGAGCCACCCACTCAGAAACCTCACCCCGGCCCCAGCCTGGGTCCCAGGCGGGCCAGCCGGCTTTCTTCTCCGGGTCACACAATGAATCTCCCCATTCTGGCTCCAAACCTGCCCGCCCCGCCCCAGCTGTAATGACAGGGAGAGCCGAGGCTTCTGTGCCCAGCCATGACGTCAGCCTGAAGCTTTGAGAGCCACATGATCTCACCAGAGTCAAGTAGGGACCCAGTCACTCCCTCGGGATGGGGGAGTGGGGGGCACCTCGGTCTCCCGCTCTCGGCTAGCTGGGCAGGGAGAGTGGGGGTCTCCACCTGTCTTGTCTGCTCCGCACGGACCCAGGTGCTCCCCCAGGCTCTGCCACCCAGAGCCACGCCCCCACGCCTCTGCTTTCTCACCTGCAAAATGGGGGTGGTGAGAACACCCCCGTTGTTTTCATGGGGGTTTAACATGAGGGGGGCAGCCCTGGGCTCGCCAGGGAGACAGGTACATAGGAGTGGGCTCTACATGGTGATGGCTGTTGTTCCCCATACTATTATTTTTAGCAAACGGCCTCATGCAGGCACTGCTTAACCTCAAACTGATTTCTCAACCAGTGACTCACTGAATTCCTGAATACCCCCACCCCACCCCACCCCACCCTGCGAGGAAGGCAGGGCTGAGACCCTGCAGCCCATAGAGAGAGAACAGCGTGCCCACAGCGCCCACCTCTTGTTGGAGCCAGATCGGAGATGGGAACCCAAGCTCAGGGGGCCCAAGCTCATTGTCGAAGGACAATGGGTAAGTTCATTCTCCAAACTGCGGGGGAGGAACAGAGAAATCCAGCAAGCAGGTCCTCTCGGGGCTTCTGGTTCAGACCAGACCTGGGCACCTTCCGATAATTAGCATTATTAACAGTCATAATAGGACTACCATTGGTTATCCCTTCCTACGGCAGTTTCCTCACAGGAGTGTTGTGGCTGAAGCCAGGTTAATATCTGGAAAGTGCTTCCAACAGGGCCTCGCACACAGCAAGCCTTACGTAACTGAGAACTCAAAATCGAATATATCAAAGAGAGAGTCAGTCTGCTGAATGTTTAGCAGTCCTCAGGGACACACCCACGAGGTGACTACTATTAAGTCCATTTTTTTCATTTATGTACAATTTTTGTGTGTGTGTTCTAATAAAACTTAATTTTTTTGTATTGGGATTATGTGGTGTTTTTATGTTCCGTTAGCCACTGTAGAGTATATAATCAGCCCTTGATGCAGTGTTCAGTGATTCATTAGCTAAGTATAACACCCGGTGCTCATCACAGCAGGTGCCCTCAGTACCCATCGCCCTGTCACTCCCTCCCCCACCCTCCTCCCCTCTGGTCCCCCCAGATTATTTCCCAGGGTCCACAGTCTCTCATGGTTCATCTCTCTCTCTGATTCCTCCCTCTTCAGATTTCCATCCTTCCCCTAAGGTCCTCTGTGCTATTGCCTACGTTCCCCCTATGAGTGAAACCATCTGATAATTGTCTTTCTGGGCTTGACTTACTGCACTTAACATAATCCACACCCCCCCCCCCCCCCCCCCCCCCCCCCCCCCCCCCCCCC